ACAGTTAAGCGAGTGGGTAAACACTTGGTAGATGGAATATAATGTGGGAAATATGAAGTTATGCAGTTTGGCAGGAAGAACAGACAAACTGAATATCATTTATATGGAGAAAAAGTGCAGATACTTACAGAACAGAGGGGTTTGGGAGTTCTTGTGCTTAAATTACAAGAAGCTAGCACATATGGTCAGCGGGTATAATGAAGGCAATCATAGAATGTAGAAGAAGTCCTTTCACCTATAGTGTCAAATGAAATGTTTATTTTTATTTCAAAGGCAATTCAGTACAAAAATAGGGAGGGTTTGCTATACAAGACACTAGTCAAAGCATAGCTGGAATATTGTGAACCATTTTGGTCCTCTTACCCAAATTGCCCAGGTATGCCCTGTACATAAAAGGCAGGATAAATCCAAACCAGCCAATTACCATCCAATCAGACTACTCTCAATCATCAATAAAGTGATAGAAGGCGTCATCAACAGTGCTATCAAGCAGCACTCTAATCTTGAGCACTACGTTTTGCGCCTGGAATTTTGAAAATTAACAATCAGGATAAACCATCAGAAATAACCTGCTCAGTGATGCCCAGTTTGGGTTCCGCCAGGGCCACTCAGGTCTTGACCTCATTACAGCCTTGGTTCAAACATAGACAACAGAGCTGAATTCCTAAGGTGATGTGACAGTGACAGCCCTTGACATCAAGGGTGCATTCAACTGAACATGGCATCAAGGAGCCCTAGCAAAACTGGAATCAATGGGTATTAGGGGACAAACTCTCTAGTGGTTGAAGTCATAGCTAACACATAGTAAGACGATCGTGATTGCTGGAGGTCAATTATCTCAACTCCAGATATCTATGCAGATGTTCCTCAGAGTAGTGTCCAAGGCCCAACCATCTTCAGGTGTTTCACCAATGATCTGCCCTCCATTATAAGGTCAGATGCGGGGATGTTCATTGATGATTGCACAATGTTCAGCACCATTCGTGACTCCTCAGATACTGAAGCTGTCCATGTTCAAATGCAACAAGATCCTGACAATAGCCAGGATTGGGCTGACAAGTGGCAAGTAACATTCGCACCACACAAATGCCTGGCCATGACCATCACGAATAGGAGACTATCTAACCACCACCCCGTGACATTCAATGGTGTTACCAATCCCCCACTATCAACATTCTGGGGTGTTATCACTGACCAGAAACTCAACTGGACTCACCACATAAACAGTGGCTACAACAGCAGGTTAGAGGCTAGGAATACGGCAGAGAGTAACTTACCTCCCCACTTGCCTGGATGAGTGCAGCTCCAACACAGCTCAAGAAGCTTGACATCATCCAGGACAAAGCAGCCCGCTTGATTGGCACTACATCCACAAGTATTCATTCCCTCCACCACCGAAGCTCAGTAGCAACAGTGTGTACTATCTACAAGATGCACTGCAGGAATTCACCAAAGATCAACAGACAACACGTTCCAAGCCCACGACCAATTCCATCCAGAAGGACAAAGGCAGCAGATATATGGGAACAGCACCACCTTCAAGTTCTGTTCCAAGCCAGTCACCAACCTGACTTGGAAATATATCACAATTCCTTCTCTGTCGCTACATCAAAATCCTGGAATTCCCTCACCAATGGCATGGGGTCAACCCACAGCACATGGACTGCAGCGGTTGAAGAAGGCAGCTTACCAGCATCTTCTCAGGGGCAACTAGGTATGGGCAATAAATGCTGGCCAGCCAGGGACACCCACATCCAACAAATTAGAAAACGAAAAAGAAAGACATACTGGCATCGGAGGCAGTTCAGAGGATGTTCACCAAGTTGATTCTGGGGATGAGAAGAGACTGTCTTATGAGAAAAGATTGAGTAGGTAAGCCTGTATTCATTGGAGTTTAGAAAAATGAGAGGCAACTTTATTGAAACACACATGATCCTTAGGGGACTTGACAGGGTAGTTGCAGAAAAATTGTTTCTTCTTATGGGACAGTCTAAGACGAGAAGGCAAAATTTCTGAATAAGGCATTGCCCATTTTACACAGAGATGAGGAGAAATTTCTTCTCCCAGAGAATTGTAAATCTGTAGAATTCTTTACCACAAAAGGCTGCCAAGGTTTGGTTTTTAAGTATTTTCAAGATTGAGATACATTGATTTTTAAACAGTGAAGGAAATAATGGTTATGGGGATAAGGCAGGATAATGACAATTATTTGAACAGCCATGTTCTCGAATGGCAGAGCAGATTTGGTGGGCTGAGTGGCCTACTTCGGCTCCTACCTTTTATGGTCGTACAGGTTTATCTAAAACTGTGTCACTCAGTGACAAAATCTGGGATTTTCTGGCTTTCCTGACTCAATACCACAGCATTGTTGGAATAGTGTAGATTTGTCAGCATTCAGGAAAATAAAAATAAGGGTGCCATTTCGAACAGATATCATCCATCACACATTCTGATAAACCTTCTGCATAGCTCTAACGTTTTTGATTTCCCTTTTAGATTACTAGAATCTCTTACAATTGATAGTACTGCTTAACCCACAAGTACAGTGCAACTTACTGTAAGACTATTTTTAAAATTGTATGTGAATTCTGTGCTCACCAAGATGGTGGATATCAATGCCAGAAAATGGAACACCTTTTCACCATCAGTTTCCAGCATCAAGCATCCTTGATCTCTCTACAGTAAAAGTGAAATTAGTTTGACTAGTGTGACTTCGATTCAAACTCAAACATACATGCCCTTCTGCACCACAATGTTTTTTCCACTTCTCATACCAGCCTTGAGCAAAATTACCAATTAGTGCCGAGTAACGGTTGCTGTTTATTGTTGATTCAGCTTCATTGGGAACTTGATTCAAAACTGTCAAAAACCCATTTCACATCACATTCCTGCAGCAATCTGTAAGAGTTGAACCCAGGTCACAAAAGGTGTAAGGGACTAAAGTCCTTCCACTGCATGAAACTTCATTTTCTTTACAGGTAGAGAATCAGTTGAAATCAGCAGAAAAGCATTGTAATGGATAGAGAAATTATTTTAGTTTAGTGAAGGCACCAACTATTAACATATTTCGTCCCACATTAAATAAAAAACTAATGAGCTTTGTTTTGTCATGGCCAGCAGTGGGATGACTTCACTCAGGCTGACCACTACCCATTTTCAAATGAGCCAGTTAGGCTGAATAATAAAGACATGTATCACATCATATTGCTGGTGAATATCTATTCCATTCTTTGGAAGGTTGGTTTTGTATATATGACCAGGAAAGATACCATATGACACTAGAACTGAAAGACTATGGTAAAACTCTCAGCTAAAATTTCATTTCTTCCACCGGAATTCTGCAAAAATTTAGAATGTATTGGTGAAATTGTCAGACATGCAGCAAGCCCAGAACCAAATTTCCTGCAGGCTGACAACTCTAGGTGCCACAGATGAAGGTGATGCAACATTTCAGCAAATGTTCCACCTTTTCAGCTTACTGATGAAGGTTTGGAAAACTAAAACAGCAGCAGCCAGTTTGGTTTAGGATGTGTAATTTCTGCAGCAGAAAATTAACTTATTTTAATGTTTTATTGCTTTTGCTTCAAGACATCCGGAAGTATTTCACAGTGTACAAGTCTATTCCATACTGTAAATGATGACTGATAATGTCTAAAATCAGCCACTTGAAAAAAATGAAATGAAACAATGAGCAGTTACAATATAATACTAATACAACACAGCAAAAATACAAAAAGCTAGATATTGATTGAATAAAGGCACATCCATGTGTTTTGAAAACAAAAGAATTCCAGTCCAATACAGTAACCAAATAGACTCTTGTGAAAAAAAACTAGAAATTACAAACTTTTAAAGGTCAATTCTGCAGTATTCCTTACAAATCTCCACATACAACTCATATCAAATACAACATAAATTAATTTTCTGAGCCTATGACATGCAGATCTCGGCTACATTTATCCGACATTTTGCAATGTTGACATTCTTCTCAAAATAGGCCTTAGGTTGTATGCATTTAGGTTGAAATTAGATCAGCTGAAACTCTCCTGCAAAAAATTCAAATGAGCTCAAGAACTGTGACCACATCTTCAGATATTTTCAACTGTATAAACAAATGATTGATTCTTATAAATATTATTTATCTTAGCAGCACAGTTGACCTATGTTAATCTCACAAATACTGTCTTAAAGATCACATTTAGTAAGACAGGTAAATATTTTTCTCCATAGAGAATAGCAGTTATTCTCTTTTTATCATTTTTTTGAAAAACCGTGGTCTTTTAAACTCTTTAAACAATGCCTGAGAATAGCAATTCAATCGCCTTTATTTTGGCTCCTTCCCCAAACTAATAAAAAAGACTTCTCCAAAGGCTCATTAACAATCTTTAGAACAGATAAAAGGCCCAAACTTTGTGAAGTGATTCCTAATCGTCAGACAATAAAAAAGGAAACGGGGATGCTTTTGTCTTGACATTTCTGCTGCTATTGTGCTTATACAAAGCTTCCTAGCTCTGCCATTTTCAGTCTACCGATGCTTTTCTGGGTTCCACTTTCACACGTTATGGTTTTGTTGAAATTTTGCTATTGCCTACATATGAAAGATTTACACAATTTTATTTACACCATTCTCGTTTTTATATAAATCACAAAGTACGTGTGACTCATTTCAACATAATTAAATTCAGAAGGCAACAAACTGAAAGTCGCAGTGGCACTTTTGCTCAAAACATTACTTCCCCCGATTTCGTCAAAATCACGTCGTTTAGAAAAAACATAAACTAAAGGCAAGGAAGACAAAACAAGCTAAACAGCGAAAAACGCCAGATATATGCTAAAGGGGCCGTAAGTGGTGGGTCCGCCCCAGCCGGGCTGACATATAGCTGGCGCCTGCCCGCCCCGGACTCCCAGGTTCTGATCGTATTAACATGGCGAGTTAGGGAGGTTCTGTCTCTGACTCGCGCGTTGAGAAATGACTTTGAGCGGATTTGCTTAGACGGTACCTGTCTTTTCTTTGATTTCGCACAAAACACTGAAGAGAGCCGGTTTCATCCTGTGACAGTTTAACGCGTGTTTTCTGCAAAAGTAATTAAAAACACGTTAGGATCTCCTTCTACAAAGAGTGAGAATAGCAAACGCCGAGTTCCCCTCAGGCAAAACACAATCAGAATCCACAACACTAGGAAAATCAACAATGTAAAGCATTTAAACCCAAAACAACAAGCAAGCTTTCCCAGACTGTGCAACTGACAGCGACTGGATCTGAAAATATTCAGCAACGACAGGAAATGGCTCCCAAATTTCACATATCCAAAGACATTAAAACATCTTAGACTCTCGGTGAAAACAGATCCTAAATCTTTAAATCTCTATACACTGTAGGCAGTCAGGACTACAAAACTCCATAAATTTCAACAAAAGCTGTAGCGAGCGCATAATGAAAAGTGTTTTAACAACCTCTTAGAGACGCTAAAACACTGTATTGGCATGGAGTTGTTCTACTCTAAAATATTAATACTTTATTCTTTATCAGCGTTTCTTATTATCTTACATTTCCAAGGATGTGGACCTCATTTACCGCCTCTAAACCGCAAGCTTGTTATTTTCAAACATTTTCATCCCGTCAGTTACAGAGTTGCAAGTGCATTCAATAATGAAGCGGCAGCTAAACTAATCCATTGCTTAAATCTATTTTTATACATTAAGGTATATGTGTACGTGTAGGTAACGTTCGGGCTGAAGATCGTTACAGCGATTTAGTTATTTTATGCTAAATGAAAGGCGATAGATTAAAACTTTCTACTAAAAATAAATCTTAGATGGGGGTTTGAAAGTTTAATATCCTGTAATCCAACTTCTTAATTCGCCATATATCTTTTAAAGCTAAGTATTCCATTTGGTGCGATTTGTCCTAACTGTGTACCGTTGACACCTTGAGTACTGGGTTTAAAGCCCTTGAAGTGCAAAGGTATTCTTAAACAATTGGGATAATCACAATTAATGAAACATCTTAACATCAATATGCACAATATTTATTGAAGCAAAAAGCCTATTTTTGACTACATACCCAAACCCATGACCCGACATCTTTCAATTAGAATCATTCACCCTGTCTTTTATTTATCAAATTTTGAATGAACATTTTTCTTTTAGAGTGCGGGTAATAATGTAAAATTCCAAGACTCAAACACCCTTTCATACCACTGCAGTGTCTATGTTACAATAGATCACATCAGTTAGTCTTATCCTCGTTGAGTATACCAATCGCTTGTAGTCGCGTTTCAGAACGCATGCAACGCGGGCATATTCCGACACGCTTATTTTAAAACAGTTCACTGAAACTTTAACTGGAAATGTTAGATAACTAACTAGAGAAGCAAGCAGTCTATACTATCGGGACATTAAAATTTCATAAAAGTAAAATTATTTCGAAACCATTATTGTCAATTAAGTTTAATTAAATGGTCAAAGTGCCATTCATTAGGAGGCAATTGTTCTACACTAAAGGCAGTCTACTTCCAGAACCACAGATAAAAGAATTAAATGAGGAATACCATTATTTTAGCCAAAGCAAATGCAAAAACATAACGACATTTACCATCTAAAGAATAACAGTTACTGGAGAGTTTGAAAAGATGTCAATAATAATTTCAATGTTTCTAATTGTATTTTACAGTTTTGAAATACTGTAGCTTGAATGCGAAAGAGGTCAGACAAAGGGCACTAAACATGCTGTTTGGTGAAAATTCTTTACAGAAGCAAAGATAAAAACCTGAAGTAAATTAGAAGCTAAACAACAACCTAACATCCATATTTCGTCAGTCAAGCGCAAAAATTACACTGCAGCTGTAAACTATAATAAGCTTTAAATCGGCCAGGTTGTAAATCTGGAATTTCCAATTGCAAAGTACCGAAAAAAAGTCTTCCACTGCAACTTCTCAAATTTTGCAACTAAGTGTGCTTGCAATAGATTATCATTTTGTAAGACCAATCACCTCAGGTCAGTTGTGTGTCGCACGTAAATTTTGAGGATATACAGACAGTCTCAGACAACGAAAGAATTCAACAGTACAAAAGAATGCCAGTGTAAATAAATACGATAGATACACAGATAAATAAATAAACATTAATTAACAAATAAACAAACCCAGCTCCAAGACGGTGACCAAGAAAGCTAGCTGGATATCACACACAAGTGTTCCGCTCAGTGTGATTGAAGGAAAACAGTTGTCAGCCACTGAAACCGCCCGTTGCAAAGCCTAGTATTTACTCATTAGTGTTGCTTTCCGTAACTGGTTCAATCTCCACTTTATAACGTTAAGCAATATCAAAGTGAAGATACTGACAACAAATAACAGACTAGCTGCTGGTAATTATTATATAGAAATAGACTGGTTCATATTAAATTTCAAGGTGAATTCAGTTTGAAACAGGGGACTAGGCAGAAGCATGGTAAAATTATAATGCTCAAGTAAAAGCACACATCAAAACCAGCCTTCCTATTTATTAAATTAATTAGAAATACTGAATTCCTAGTACACTACTACGAATACTGACATTTTCTTCAATACATTTCAGTTAAGTACTTCAGCCAAAATTCTTTAAATAATGTGTATTTGGTAATCCTGGGTTATAAATATTTAACTACAATGTGGTAAAATCTCTAAGCAAAAAAAAATTCATTGCTACCATGGAAGGGATAAAAATTATCAGAAGACACTATCTGCCTAAACAGAAGAGGCTTATGCCAAATCTTTTAGGATCTTTTCATGATCTCAACATGCAGAATTCAAAATCATTTTCAATACAATGTAATCAGATCATGACACAAAAACATGTTTTTCACACATATACAAAAACAAGATAAAACAGGTAATCTTAAATCAAGTCACGTATATATTTTGTTTAACCAATGAAGATAGCACATCTAACAACTTATGGCAAGAAATTAAATACCCTATTCAAACATAACCAATCACGTAGACAAATCCAGAGAAATATTACATTTAAATTAATGTTAATACAGTCCAACTGAAAGATTTAAATAATTCGTTTTTTTAAAGAACCGATATTTTATTGCTTAAGTATCTGAAATAAAGCAGGTCATTCAAAGAAGGTAATAGAAAACATGACATACAATGTTGACATTTAAACCAATTTAAAGGTAAACTATAAACAATCTAACAGGACACTACATTAGGGATCAAGATAAATTCAGTTTGTGCCTTCCTAAAGCAAATGTAAAAAATACAGTGGCTTACAATGTTTACCAACATTTGTTAAAAACAACTTTTCAAAACCTAAAATCCTATATTTTACAGCTTGATTTTATTTAAATTTAAATAATCCACAATGCCATAGCTCACAATTTACTGTCATAAAACTTACTTTAAAAATTAACCAGATATTTGTAAATATTGCAATATGAATGCCGGGTTAAGCCTGAGCTCAATGTCTTTCACAACATGTTTACAGCTCAACAAACTAATTAGCTTTTAATAAATGACATTGTATACTTATAGTGTGGTAATACAACTTTCTCAATTTTTTATGGAATAGAATCAGAACAGTGGGTCTATGTCAAAGCTTCATTCATTTCACTTTGATCATAGCTCCATTTCACTTCCTTTCCTCTAATCTCACAACCCATCCAATCACAATGCCAACACTGACTGGCTCTATGAGAAGTTAATGAATAGATTAATTATACTGTATGTTGATTAACATTTGTGATCAATTAATTAGTCTTTAAAGTATATAACCAAAGGGATTAAAGTGCAAAAAGAATTTATGAATTCGTTTGGTACCTTTGTGCTCATTTAAATCATTGTGCAATTAGTATGAAATAGTATACTCCAATATAAACACAGACATAAATAGTCCTTTATTAATAAAATCACCTAGCACTACTGAACGATATCAAAGAGCTCACTGGCAACTTTGTTTCTCTCACCTCAAGTTAACTGAACCACCACTTAAAATCTATTTAAGTCAATTTGAAATGACTGGTAGTGACAGCACCAAGTTTGGCATTTCAGGCATCCTGCAATTTTGATGCACAAATCCACAGTTTAGCTAAAACCTGGAAAGATCGTAACTGCTTAATTCTTCACAATTCCTTTGTTTCCTGCTGCTCATAATTGGAATGAAATGCAATGAGTGAAACAGAAAATGGGGGGAAATATGCACCAGCAAACTTATGTTTAATGTATACATTCGCTGAGCGATTTTAGTCAGATGGTCCAAATTTATTTCATATTGACAATAGTTCTACAAAACATTCAGCAAAATGCTCAGAATGAAATGGCATCATCAAAAGTAAAGATGTAACTCACTGTTTCTCTTGTGGAAAAATAACAACTATAAATGAAAAATAATTCAAACATAAGATGATTTTTTAAAGTATAGATTATCATTAGCTGTTTGCAATAATCAGAAAAATAAATGGTTGTTTCATTTCAAGCTGTAGAGTGCACCAAAAAGGATTTTCACTTTTGAGAGCACTCAATTTTACATTTCTTGTAAAATTCTCATGGAGCTAAATTCATTGTTCACCACAAAACTTTCCAATTTAACCAAAATAACCAGCTCACTGCAATAAGCAACTTATTCAGCTTTTTTCAAACTGCAAACAAATTACAGTTGCCAAGAGTATGTCTTAAGAAACTTTTTACTCTGGTTCTATATGCTTTCTTTCAATCCCTTGGGAACTCTGTACAAACTACATTTCGTCCGACAGTCCATTTACTTGCGGCTCCAAACAATTTTTATATCACAAAACACTGCTAATTGCTGAAGATGCTGCTTGCCTGCTGCTATCCTCCTTCTCACAAACCCATTAGACAATTTGATTAAAAGGTCAAAAGGCACATTAGTCAAACAGAAATTTAATTAGCATTTGGCTAAACATTTTAGTTATGGATGCAACTGGACCCAGTAACCACCCCCTCCAAGCGATGTGAACGTTTTAGTGCCCCTCTCTCAGTGAAAGTGGATCTAAAATCACACTCCTGTGTTGCTTAAGATGACTGGGATTTATTTTTGGTTATTATTTAGAAACTGATTTTGATGTTGCATGAGCCAAAAATGAGTGCCCAGTGATAAATACACAAATTGAAGGGGCATTTCATTCACAAGCTTTTGGACATTGGTGATTGAGGGGACAGGCAATATTATTTGTAGGCATTTTTGTACAAAGCATAACTGCAACCATCTAAGTTTAAATCATTGTGTGACAGTCAGGCTGCAAGGTCCTTTATATTGGGGTTTAGGTGGGTGATGATCTGCTTCATTCCCCCTTCAGAAGATGAAGTGATCGTGGAATTAACGGAAAAACACAGATTTCTGCATAAAATGCAGGTTTGACCAGCGCACACACATACAAATAGGGAGGGTATCATTCTTTGAATAAAGTAGAATGGGTAAAGTTGAACACGACTTAAAGGATTGGGAAGGCAAACTTTCTTCTTTTGCTTCTGTGAGGATGCTTTTCGATTTTGGGTGGCTTGGCGGAGTGGGCGTGGAGAGAAAAAATAAAGGAATGTGGATTTATTTGTGTGATGTGTGCCTGTTTAAACTGACTCCTAAAGTTGGAAAGGCGGGGGTGGTGGGGGTTGGTGGGAGATCAAGGCTGTGGGAGGGGAGGGGAAACGGTGTGAAAGGAGCGTGTACTGACCTGGCCTGAGCCTCGTCCAGGCTCTGGTCAGTGATGGTCATGATCTGCTGCAGGATGTCTCCGATGTCCTGTTTCCGTCCCTCGGGGTCGCCTCCGTCCGCCTGGGAGTGAGGAGGGAGCGAGTGTACCGCCAGAGCCACCCCGGGGTGAGGCTGCAGCAGCCGGGACTGGTCCTCCATCACACCCCGGCCACAAAATGAAAAAAAAATCTCTCTCACACACACACACACACACACACAAAAGACCCTGACAGAGAGTCCAGAGGGTGTGAAGAGGGAGAGAGGGGAAAGGGAATAAATAATTGAAAAAAAAATTAGAAAAATACTCTCCCGTCTGGAAATGTCACTGATCTTCTTGTTTTAAATCCTGTCAAAGATCAATTTTTTTCTCCCCCTCTTTCTTTCTCAATAATAATAAATCGGACGTCCTCCGGGGGTTGGCTCACCCAACACCAAGCCGAACGTTGCAGCGATTTGAATTTTAACCGTCGCCGCCACCGCTCGCCCGCCCCCCCCCCCTCCTTCCTGCTCGCTCGCGACTGTTTTGACGGCGCTCGAGCCGCAGATGGGGAAGAGGGTGAAAGAGAGAGGGAGATGCGCTCCAGCACCTCCCCGTCTCTGCCACCCCTCACATCCTCTCACCCCATTGGCCGGTCCGTTGCTACGAGTGACGGCTGGAGTACTATCCCGCCCCCTTTCCCCTCCCATTGGACGGTTCCGCCGGGCTCGGCTTTGATGGACAGCTTTCTCCACAGGCTCTGGCCCCGTTGGATTGTTTGCGGGGAGGAGTGGATTTTGGGGGAGGGGAGGGCAGAGGAGGGGAAGGCTGAGTTTGCCCGCCTCCTTCACTCTTGCCCCCGCCCCTCACTTCCCACGCCCCTCTCTTCCCCAGCCCGCCCTCAAGCACGCACATTGTCGGCGCATCGCACTGATTGACAGCGGCCCCGCTGCTAGGAGACGGGCGGCGCGAGCCTCTGTGAGCCGCCGGGATTGGCGGTCGCCTGGTGATGATCCACCCCCTCTTGCAGAGCCACTGGTGAGCTCGATGTCTTCCAAAGCGTGTGAGTGGCAGGTTGAAAGTATGCGCGGTGTTTGAGTGATGGTTTATGAAAAATAAGCTCTTGACTGACGTGTGCATATTTATAGTGACAAACTGCGAGCGAAGAGTTTATTCATTTAAATCTGACAATTGCCAGGAAACATTATCGAGTCGGAATGGAAAGAGGCTCTTCGGCCCATCGTGCCCGCAGTGGTTGTCAAACATCCGTCAGTTCTCATCTTTTTCCAGCACTTGATTCTTAGTCTTGTGTACTTGTGATGTGTACTCCCTTATCTTGTGAGTCTTCCTAAAATGCATCACCTCACACTTTCCAAGATTAAATTCCATATGCCACCGTTCAGCACGTCTAACGTGGTCCTCTAATCTAAAGCTTTCCTCCTCACTATTTAACAACAATTTTAATGACATCACATCTAGAAAAGGAATTAACTACTCTAATCTAAAACTTTATCTACTCAAATCCCAGTTTCGAACGTATGACCCAAAGCCTTGTAGCTACTTATTTTAATCAAACTCTTCAGAAGTGCTTTGACAAGTGTTTGGGGCAGGTGAACCTTGAACTTGGATCTTCTGGCCCAGAGCTCGGAGCACTACCACCAACTAACAGACCTTGCCCATAGCCTTGTATGCAATGGAGTTTCAAGTGCTCATCCAAACAGTTCTTAAATGTGTCGAGAAATCCCACGGCTAATACTCTTTTAGGCCATGCATTCCAGATACCCACAACCCTCTAAGTGAAAAAAAAATCCTAAAGTCCCCTCTAAACCATTTGTTCCTTATTTTAAAATTGTGCCCCCAGATTATTCAAACCTGTACAAAGGGAAAAATGTTTTCACTATTTACCCTGTCTATACACCTCAGAACTTTGTATACCTCAATCAGATCTCCCCTCAGCCTTCTCTGCTCCAAGGAAAACAACTTCAGCTTACCAAGGATAGTAGGAACTGCAGATGCTGGAGAATCCGAGACAACAAGGTGCAGGGCTGGATGAACACAGCAGGCCAAGCAGCATCATAGGAGCAGAGAGGCTGACGTTTCGGGCCTAGACCCTTCATCAGAAAAGGCTTCCGAGTCTCTCTTCATAATTCAAGAGAGCTATTAGGTATACAAGTTTTTTTTTTCTTAGTAGCTTAGTCTTCAGTAGGCTTAGTTCTATTTGCAGCAAGTATATGTGAGAATGTTTAAATTGATGACCAGTTAAATATACATATGTGTGTGTGTGAGAAATCATTCTCTTTCTAAAGGTAGAATCACCAACTCTGGCCAGGCAGATAATATGGCTGCAATGTTTCAACGTGCTAGTTATTGTGGCGGCAGTTGTATTAGCTATAAAGGCAGCAAATGTAAAACCTCTGCCAGAATATACAGATTGCAATAGTGGACACGTCAGACACGGGTGGTTTGTGCGAACTAAATCAGTGAGTTGTTCTCATCTAGCTGTATAAACCAGTTCCAGCATAGCGACATATGTCAGTCACTATTCAAATGGGCTGCTTTGAATAAATCACCTGTCACTGATCTATATTCCATTTAGATAATGCCACTGCATCTCTTCTGCTGTGAAAAAAGACAAACACAGATTATATGTTATATTTAGTTTTTCCCTTCAATCTTAGTGCACGAATGTCTGAGAGGGGAGTTTCTATTACAGGTTGTTTGGCTTTCACTGTTATCTTCCTTGAGCGCCCTATTTTAATTATCATAATGTTGATGCAGTAAGTGGGTTGTGAAAGGATTCACTGAAAATGAAAGAGACACACATAATTGCTGAAGGTTATGTTACCAGAAGAGAGCTGTTACACATGCAAGTTGGTTTACTACTCTTTGCAGCATACATCTGTAAGAATGTTTTAATAGATGATCAGTTATATATGTGTGCATGTGAGAGAAATCATCCTTTTTTTTCTCAAGGTAGAATCATTGACTCTGGTCGGTCAGATAGTTTGGCTGCAGTGTTTAGAGGTGATAATTATTGTAGCAGACATTGCATTAGCTCCAAATGCACCAGATCTAAAACCCGTACCACAAGTCAGGTGGCAAGGGGAGACAGTGGTTAGCACTGCTGCCTGACAGTGCCAGGGACCTAGGTTCAATTTCAGCCTTGGATGACTGTCTGTGTGGACTTTGCATGATCATGCTGTGTCTGTGTGGGTTTCCACTGGGTGCTGTAATTTCCTCCCATAATTTGGAGATGCGCAGGCTAGGTGGGTTGGGTGTGGTAAATGCAGGGATGGGGTGGGGGTGTTCTGAAAGTGTTGCTCTTTGAGGGTTGGTGCACACTTGATGGGCTAATTGGCCTCTACGGAATTCAAAGATAGAGGAGAAAAGAAAATATTTCTCTATCTAGTGACTTTCACCATCTCATGGTGTCCCAAACTGTTTTTTAACTGACACTTCATTGGGTGTTGCCTTGTTGAAGGTGCTGCAGCTTGTTTCTGCAGAGTAGGACCCCACAAGCAGCAATCAGATTGTGAGGAGATGTTGGTTGAGGGATGGATATTTGGATCAGAAGTAATGTGACTCAGACTCGCTGCTAGGATGTATGGTGGGAAAGAAATGCTCACAGGGCTTGGATGGGTCATCTTGATGACCAGTGTTTGCCAGGCAGTGAATAATGGGGGACAGAAAGGTAGTCATCCGGCAGGGATGCTAAGTGCTTAAGGCTATCTGACCAAAATAATTGAGGAAACAAATGTGGTCAGGAGTGTGTGTAACTCAACTTCATTTCTTGATTTTGGAATGAGAAGATCCGTCTTTATGCACCAGGTCCAAAAATGGAAGCTCATTGATTGTCGCACTTTGCAAACTCTAAGGCCCAACCAGGACTGAAGAAGACCAAACATGTGCCAGGTGATGAGTGTGAATACAGGAACTGAAGGTGACAAAGGCAACAAGCTTTCTGGGAGGTGCAAACCTTTGGGAAAACAAAGCTTTTAGCTGTTGAAGGATGGTTTGGTTAATTTTCATTCAGAATTGTCTTATAGTGTCCTACAGCATGGCAAGAGACCATTTATCCACTGCACTTGTTCAGTTCTTTGAAAGACTGGAAATTTCTATCACTCCTGTCCTTTCCCTACAGCCACACATGTTTTTCCTTTTCAAGTATGTTTCTATCTCGCTGTTTGAAAGTTACTGAATCTGCTCCTACCTTTTCAGACAGCACATTCCAAATCACAACTCACTGTCTGAAAAACAAAGGTTGTTCATCTCTCGTCTGGTTCTTCATCATGCCAATGCTTAATGGGAAACCGAAAGAATAGCTATAGGGATGTGCTCAAGATCACCCTAAAGAAGAGACATTAATACCACTGATTAGGAGAGAAAACTGCTAACCATTCTGCACAACATGGCACATCCTGATCCCTCAAGGCTCAAGCCACTTCAAGACTCAGTGACTCGACTGGTGGCAGCAGAGGAAAGAAAAGGAAGCCAGCCCTGGGCTGTGAATTGCATTTCCCCATCCAACATTGTCTCCACTGCAGAAAAGCTTGTGGATCCAAAATTGACTCCTCAGTCATCTGAAGACTCATTCAGCCTGATAGATGATTGATTCTGAGCAACTGCAGCTGACAATGGTTCTTTTGCCAATTATCTTAAATTTGTGTGTGCACTGACTATTCCACCAACATCAGCTGCTTGTCTTCATTTACTCCATCTATATCTCTCAATTTTGAACAGGTCTATTGATGCTTATTTAATCTTTTCTACTTTATGGAGAATAAACCAGGCTTCTTTTATCTTTCCACATGTCTGAAGGCCCACGTCCTTGATATCATCTCTGGGGCTGATTTTCAGTGCATAGAGAGGCCAGAAAAAGACTACTGTGGAATATTTAAACTGTTAAACTGGTAAGTCATACATGTTATGGAATCATTCCAGCACAGAAAACAGACATTCAACCCATGCCGAACTTCCCCAGGAGTGATTCTTGTACTGCTCCTCCCGTGCCTTCTCCCGTCCAATCCTGTACATCCTTTTCTTCAGATACGTAGAAAATTTCAAAAGATTTATGGCACAGATAAATGACACTCTGCCCATCATTTCTGCACTGGCTGAAAAGTGAGCAACTCAGCCTCATCTTGTTTTCATGCATGTGGTCCATGTGGCGGTTATAAGGTTTCCTTGGCATCAGGAAGATCATGCTAAATCTGGGACTGCCTGACCCTGCTGTTGGATATCTGACAGTGTGGGGCTGGAGGAGCACAGCAGGCCAGGCAGCAACAGAGGAGCAGAAAAGTTGACGTTTCAGGTCAGGACTGTTCTTCAGAAAAATGTGTGTGTGCTCCTCCAGCTCCACGCTGTGTTATCTATGATTCCAGCATCAGCAGTTCTTACTGTCTCTGTTGAATGTCTGAGATCTCTTTCCTGTTTAGGCACAGAGTCAAAAGTTCTTTTAAGTAGAATCACTTGTAGGAAAATGAGGCCTTCCGCAGTGGAACACATTGAAAGAGTAAATAAGGAAGATGCCATTGTTAAGATAGCTAATGGACGAGTT